CACACACACACACACACGCACACACACACGCGCACACCCAAACCCCCACCCCCACAAACGCAAACACACACACACTCACACACACGCACACACACACACACACACACAGACAGACATACACACGCACACCCACTCAGTCACTCACACACAAGCACAGAAACATTCGGAACTGATTTCAATAAGTGCGCAGAACCGGGCCCAGCGTGGTTGTCACAATGATGTTTGTGTTATATCTTATACGGGGTGCCCACTACAGCTGGATCGGGCCGATCGCCCAACTCGATCACCTGTAACTGAAAACAAACACGTTTGTTTTTTGAGGCCACCGAGTCTGGCGATCGGTCCGATCCCATCCGTAGTGGGCACCCCGTATTACAGAAACAGACAACACTGACAAGATCACAGATTACGCAAAGACATGATAAGCTGTAGTTTATTTTGACCCAAAGCAAAGCGCTAAGGAATTGTTTTGTTTTAGTATTATTTGTTTTGGGGACCCTGCCCAATTCTATCATCTGGCGCTTTTGCGTTTTGTAATAACAACCAACTGTGCAGCATTTTGGGTTTTAAAATTAGCTGTTAGTCTAAAAGTAAACACACAGGAAATTGTTTTACATGTAAATAAATACATAAGTAAATAAGTAAAAAAAAAAAGGTTTCTTCACTCTTATAAGGTTATTTTTAGTAAGTTACTCATCTAAGTGTTGCCATAGCCCCACTGGAGATGGTTACCACAACTGGTTAGTAGTTTGTTCATATCATGTTAGTCCCGGTCCCATCTGTAGTGGGCACCCCGTGTAACAGAAACAGACAACACTGGCAAGATCACAGATATACGCAAGGACATGAGAACTGTTGTTTATTCTGACCCCAAAGCAAAGCGCAAGGGAATTTGTTTTATTTTATTTTTTTTGGTTTGGTTTTTTATTTGTGATGCTTCTCCATACATTGTGTCGGAGGGTGCTAGGGGTAAATCTGAAATATTTTTGTTTTGTTCGGTTTTCCCTTTTTTGTTTTGTTTGTTGCTGTTTTGTGTTTGTCTTTCCGGGGTTTATTTGGTTAGCGTAAAAAGACACAACAGAAATATTATTATATTAAACAAGTGCATTTTTTAGTTTAAGTTCTAGTAGAAGTTTTACGGCGCTCGCAACTGCACAAGGTCATATGAGCGCCAGAAGATTAGAGGTGTTACAAGAGAGTAACAAACATAAAAAAGAAGAAGGGGAGATAAGGACGATAGATGTTTGATAGGGAAGAAGAAACAAACCACACCAGAGCACTCGCCAACCACCCTTTTATTGGAGAGTGCTAGTAGTAACTCGTAATTATAATTTTTGTTTTGTTTTTTTTGTCGCTTTTTAAAAATTTATTTTTCCCAGGTTTGTTTGGTTAGTGTAAAACAGGTACAAAAGAAATATAATGTTCAATAAATACATAAATGGTCACGTTTAAGCACAAGGGGGCTATCCCAACAATTGCAGTTTTGAAAAAATCGAAGGTAAAGTTTTTGCCCCTTGGTTTAGTTTCTTAAAAATGCCAGGAGAGTTTTCTCTCTAACTAAACAAATATACACACCAATGAAACCAAACTTCTCTTATAGGTAGGGCAATGCCCACTTTTGGTGTAGGTCTAGATTTCTTGAAACCCCCGAAATCTGGGTTAGCCTGCTTGTCCTTAAAAGGGACCACATAAATCATCATCATCCAGTGCCAGATCCGCGACAGACATCGGCGATCATGGTTCTCCATTCATTCCTTTGCTCGGATGCTCTAGAAAAAAGCTACGTTTCCCTGATCTTTCCCTGTTACCCATTTGTTTAGGTTCCCCAGGTATGTTGTTCTGGGCCTTCCCCTGCCTCGCTTGCCCTCAATTTTGCCAGTGAGAGCTAGATGTACCACATAAATAGTATCTATTTTTTACAAGCACTAAACAAAAGACACAGACCATGGTGACGGGCATGTAGTGTCGGTTGTTGTTGTAGGAGATCCCGACGTTCCTCAAGAACTCGGTGAAGCTGATGGTAGGCGTGCATAGGCTCAGTGTGACGATTTTGTCCAGATATACGCTCCACAGACGGGAGTAAGGGTTTCTTGAGAAGAAAAATCTGGAAAAGATAAAATGATAGCTTTCTAAATTGGTCGCTTTTAAGGACAAGCGGGCTAACCCAGATTTCGGGGGTTTCCAGAAATCTTGACCTACACCAAACGTGGGCATTGCTCTACCTATAGGGGAAGTTTGGTTTCATTGGTGTGTATATTTGTTTGGTTATAGAGAAAACGCTCCTTTTATTTTTAAGCAAGTAAACAGGGCGCAAAAACTTTACCTTCGATTTTCTCGAAACAACATTTTTCGGGATAGCCCTCTTGTGCTTAAAAGCGACCAATTAATGTGTGTTCTTTATTTGGTGAGCTGATACTGTAATGACCGATTCGTCCAACACAGGGATCAAACGGATGAAACGATAACACTCTCTCCCTTACTCTCTTTGTCTATTTGTTTG